AAAAAATAAAACCTAACAAGACAATAAACTCTAAAAACTACGAGGACCAACTTTTAAAGGTTCGGAACTTGTAAAAGGTGAAAAAAACCAATGATAATCATGTTCGGTTTTAAAATCTCAATGACAATACAGAAGAGAGGCAACGTGCGAGCCGTAGAGGAGTACAATGGCAAATCAGCTGACGGTTTGGCGGAACTTCTAGAAAGTAAAAAAAATAAACCCAAACATTAATTATGTTAGATTTTTAAAATCCCAATGACAATAATGACAAGAGATAGTGGACGGGTCGTAAAAGAGTATAATGGCAGCGTTTGATGGGACTTGTAGAAATTATAAAAACGAAACCCAACGAGACGACAAACTCTAAAAACTATAAGATCCAATTTTTAAAGGTTCTAAGGAGAATGAATAGAAATAGTGGTAGATCGAGCAAGTAAGTAAATAAAGAAGGAGATGACAAAAGTAAGGGGTAGCAACTGGTGTGACTTCTAAAAACACGGGGATGAAAATATTTGGTCTTTTAAAATCTTAAGACAACGAGATAGCTACTTAATAAATTTTAAGTAAAATCATAAAAAATATATATATGATTTTGTAAGGGTGCTAGCCACGCAATTACGCGGGCCACCCAGCTAGTTTTGTAAAAAGAAAACATCCAAACCAACGTACAAACACACATAATAGTTTTGGATCATACTAACGAATGTACGCATATGTACTATACGTACATCCCATCTGTTACCTCCTTATTTTTTATTTTAAGAAGACAAAAATCAAAATTACTTTTACATGAAAAAAATCACAAATATGAGAAATATTAGGTCTAGCAGCTCTCCCTCCGTCACTTTAAAAATCCTATGAATGCATCTAAATCTCTACGTGGTGCTATTAAATTAAAGAAATTACTAGAATTTTCTTTAAAAAAATACAAAGCAACCGACCATCAGTTTCTACTTGAATTGATGCATTTAGGTTGTTATATTAAACCTCTTTCCATCCCTCCCTCCCTCCCCACCCCGTGCCGTGTTAAAATCTATTAAACATTTTATAAACACCTCTAAGCTACTATATGACATTCTTAAATCAAAGAAAATTTTAGAAATTTCAGAAAAAAAGACTATTATATACTCCCTCCATCCCATAATATAAGCATGTTTAGCATAATATCATGTCAACCATTTTTAACTTTAACTATTAATAGAAAAAGAAATAAAAAGTATCAATCATGAAAAATTGATAATACTAGATTTATCATTAATCAAACTATCATAGTATGTAACTCTTTTTATTTAAAACATCCTATTTTTATAGATATTGTTGGTCAAAGTAGCATCTCGAAGACTGTGTCGAAATAAAAAATACTTATATTTTAGGATGAAGGTTGAACTAAAAGTCCATTAAACATCGTATAAATACTTCTGAGCCGCCAAGTAACACCTTACAAACGCTCCTATGTCGCCAAGTGACACTCTAATACGATCATCGATTTTCACTTAAATTGGTGGATCTATTATTTTATTTTCGAAGTTAGATTTTTTTAAAAAAAAACACACACATTTAGAACCTCCCCGTCACATACGTACCAGCGAGTTATCTTCATGAGAAATTAAAATCAATATTATTTTTACATTAAAAAACCGCAAACGCTTTTACACATTTGGGTCTAGCAGCTCTCGCTCTCTCGTTCTAAACATGCTACAAACACTTTTAATCTGCTATGTGGTGCTATTAAATTAAATAAAATACTAGAAAATCTTAAAAATGAATAAAGCATTAGACTATTGATTTGTTAGTTTTTTTAATAAGAAAAAACTCTAAGCTGCTATATGACATTCTTAAATTATAGTAAAATCTTAGAAATTTTGGAAAACAACATCCAACCATCGGATTTGACATAAATTGATGGACACATTATTTTATGTCATTAGATCTTTTTTAAAATCTAACAAAATTTAATAATAATCTTTAGACCAACCGGGACTAAAAATCAAAGAATACGCCTGGGCTTTTGAACCAGGACGAAAAATAATTTTTAGTCACGGTTTTCTGAGCAACCGGGACTATTGTGATTTTTGTCCGACTGGGCAAAGATGGTTTCTCCAATAATGTATGGTTGTAGTAGTGTTACCTCACTGGGTGAATTTGAAGAAAAAAACACACAATTTCAATATGCCAGAATGAATCTCTACTATTATAAAAATTGAAGATGTTTTTGCCGGTATTTTGGTACGTCATCCGTGTATGAGTCGGTTTTTAGGTTTGTTCTTTTTGGAAATATAAATCCGTGTTTGAATCGGATTTTAACTTCGATTGCTTTTGGAAATATAAAAGGAGTCATATAATAAATCTTAAGTTGAAAGTCGGACTCCTAATTGCATCTCATGATTTTTTTAAAAAATATTCGAGCGAATTCCAGCGGTGAATTTCACCCTAACTATACCGTATAACAATCATATGATTAAAATAGCATTCACCCGTTGCAACGCGAGGGCATTTTTCTAGTATAATATAAAAAATTCAGTCATTAAGCTAATTGAGCCCAACGTAATCGAAAAAAACGTAAATGCCGCGCAAAATCAGTATATGGTATTAGAATTTGATTTTCAAAGTGCCAGAATTGTTCCAAATCAACGGAAACAGTTTGTCCTGTAGTAATCCTTGCAACAGGTTCAAGTCAATTCCATCACCTGTTTAGAAGTTTGAACTTTCGTAGCGATCCAGATCCCCTGCTTTTACACTAGCAGGGAAACACGACAACAACATCGTGGTAAATCCGCTACAGCGTTGTGCGCCGAAACAGCTGTTTATCACTGTAGCGACCGATCGATCGAAGTTATTCTCCACTAACTTCTTAAGCTTAACATACGAAGATGCCTCATCATCATCTACTAATTAATAAGATGTATATCATCATCCACTAACCATCATCACATTTAAATAATATCTATATAGTTTTTATAATTTAAGAGCTTTTCAAATACAAACATGTTAAATTATCATCCGACATAATTCATATAATGTTTCAATGTATATCTTTATTATGTTTTATGATATCCTATATACTTATATAGTTCATCCTCACTTAATTCTTAAATGATTAATCTATGGTCCAAATTATTTTTCTCCTTTTTTCCTCTAATTAAATCATATCACATCAACTGTTTTTAGCATTTAGATGATTAATCTACCGTCCAAACTATCTCCCTACTTTTCTTCTTCCATAAAGTCATACCACCTTACTTTTTACGTTTGAATCATCATTCTACATACTATTTAAATTTAAATTATCATAAATCATATTAATTTACTCAATCTGATGTTATCTAGCTATCTTATATGTTATTTTTTTATTGTTATTTTTTTTATTGTTATTATACTAAATTTCCACAGCAATGTGTGGGGTTTCACCTAGTAATAATAAGGCTAATGATATCTCACGCACAACGTCGCACGCCTCGCACTCGAATCTTCCGAGATCCGTTGATGAGATAAACCAAACAGTAGTGTGCATCTACGGATCTACCGGATGATACGTCCTCCTCATTGATATCGACGTGTTTCACCGTTGCAACCGCCCCCGATTTTGATTGGGACTCTCTCCGGGGCACGTCTAATGGACGGGTGATCGTCCCCCTACCCCCTCCTCTCTCTCTCTCCCCTCTCCCTCCTCCCTTTCTTCTCTTCTTACTATATTCTCTTCTTACTACAGTAAACCACTAAATTTTTTTTAAAAAAACAAAAAGTTAGAAAAATTTATGTATAGAAATATTATATATAAAAAATTTGAATTCAAATTCAAATTTGAATCGGGTATGTAAACTTTTGACTTATAAACTTTGGGTCTATAAACTTTAGGTGTATAAACTTTAGATGTATAGAAATACTATATATGAAAAATATTTGAATTCAAATTCAAATTTGAATCGGATATTTGAATTCAAATTCAAATTTGAAACGGGTATATAAACTTTTGACTTATAAACTTTAGATCTATAAACTTTAGGTGTATAAATTTTAGATGTGTAGAAATACTATATATAGAAAATATTTGAATTCGGAGAGAGGGGGGACCCGATCGCTACCCCATCGGCTGGGCGATCGATCGCCCATTAGAGGTTTCGCTCTCTCTGGCCCCTATAGGCTACGAATTTAAATAGTAGTATATCCAGATTCATAATACTAACATATATTTTATCTAATTAAAATTTCTTACTACTCCATGCTAAAATATAAACCTAAAACGGAATTGCTAACCTCCTACCGACAGAAATTGCATCTCTAAATCTTGTAGATTTTAGGTCACTGGATGAGCTTCGAGATTCGTACTCTAGACCTTCTCCTTCAACTCCAGCGACCTTCTCTTCTCCTCCGGCGCCAGCGACACCCTAGACTCTAGCAGAGGACCCCTACGGGTTAGAGTCTCGGGGTGGGGTGGGGGTGGGAGGGGGAAGGGGAGGAGATCGCTGGCTTAGAGGGATGACCAGGGGAGGCAGTGGGCCAGCGGCGGCGTCGGTGGCGGGGCATCTCGCCGCCGACGGCTCGAGGAGGAAAGGAGGGTCTCGCCGGCGCCGTTGACGTCCCCCGGCCAGCCGATGAGGCGGGCGGCGGCACAGCGGGGCGGTGGCGGTGGGGGATCAGGTGGAGGAATAGCGATGGGAGGGGTGGTGGTTGAATACGCGTGACAGTAGGGGAACGGGAAGGGTTAATGCCTCTGCACGAATCTTAAAGTGCATCTAATGATCCAAAATTTGAAAGATGAGAGATGAGATTTTCTGTTAATAGATATGTAGACAGTCCCTATATGAAAACAGTATTAAATAAAACATTTACTAGTAAAATCAATCTATATATGAAGTATGCCTAGAGTATTGTAAAACGTTTTATTTAATTCTAGGTTTTTAATTTTGGGACGAAGATAGTACTAACTATATTTTGTAACGGAGAGATTGTTTTTGTTTGGTTCGGTGTGACTCGCCGTTTCGCCACAATAAATATCCCACCCATCCATCCACCGGAGGACACTACAACGCCAAAGCACTGCACTGCACAAGCAGCTTCCTCGCCTTCGCATCTACTACTCCCCCCAAAATGGCGCATCCGGTGGCTGAGGCCGACGAGAAGAGCCCCTTCGGCCGCCTCACCGCGGAGGAGTTCTACGCGCGCCACGGCGTGCTGCACACCTCCTCCACCTTCGTCAACCCGCGCGGCCTCCGCATCTTCACCCAGCGCTGGGTCCCCGCGGGGGGCGACGCGCCCCTCCTCGGCGCCATCGCCGTCGTCCACGGCTTCACGGGGGAGTCCAGCTGGACGGTGCAGCTCACCGCCGTCCACTTCGCCAAGGCCGGGTTCGCCGTCGCCGCCGTCGACCACCAGGGCCACGGCTTCTCCGAGGGCCTACAGGGGCACATCCCCGACATCGTCCCCGTGCTCGAGGACTGCGAGGCCGCGTTCGCCCCGTTCCGCGCCGACTACCCGCCGCCGCTTCCGTGCTTCCTCTACGGGGAGTCCCTCGGCGGCGCCATCGCGCTGCTGCTCCACCTCCGGGACAAGGAGCGGTGGCGCGACGGGGCGGTGCTCAACGGCGCCATGTGCGGGGTCAGCCCCAGGTTCATGCCCCCCTGGCCGCTCGAGCACCTGCTGTGGGCGGCGGCGGCCGTGGCGCCCACGTGGCGGCTCGCCTTCACCCGGGGGAACATCCCCGACCGCTCCTTCAAGGTGCCGTGGAAGCGCGCCCTGGCGGTGGCGAGCCCGCGCCGCACCACGGCGCCGCCCCGCGCCGCCACGGCGCTGGAGCTCCTCCGCGTGTGCCGCGAGCTCCAGTCCCGGTTCGAGGAGGTGGAGCTCCCGCTCCTGGTCGTCCACGGCGGCGAGGACACCGTGTGCGACCCCGGGTGCGCGGAGGAGCTCCACCGCCGCGCCGGGAGCAAGGACAAGACGCTGCGGGTGTACCCGGGGATGTGGCACCAGCTGGTCGGCGAGCCCGAGGAGAACGTCGACAAGGTGTTCGGCGACGTCCTCGACTGGCTCAAGTCCCACGCCGCCGCCGCTGCCGCCGCGCGTGGCGAGGGGCAGCAGTAGTTCGGTCGGTCACGCGTGCCGCGTGCTTGGGTAATTCATGGCGGATTCAAAGCAAAAGTACGGGGGCGCAATAAAAGGTTGTGGAGTTGATTGGTGAGACGAGATCGATCTGGTCCCGGTGTATCTCCGTCTCTGCGTGTGGCCATGTTCCATCTCCGTGTCTCTCTGCTCGTATTAGTCCATGAATTGAATGCCAAAAAAATTTGCCATGTTCGTGTGCTTGGGTGGGTGGTTGTGGGTTGGCGAGCGATCGGTTGCTGCCCTGCATCTCCTGCAGAGCAGAATTCCCATAAATGATGAATTTAAGAAGTCCTCGCTGAGAACGCTGAAAAAAAAATTCATAGTTTGGGAATTGAATTTTTTTTCCTCAAATTTGTGTCCAATTCTCGTGAAATCCAGCAAAGGCTAAGCCCGCAGTGGTTTACCGTCTAGAAGAAATACATAGGAGATCACGAATTTCGGAAGTGAACGGTTGACAACTGACATTGACCTTCCTCCGTTCTCTCCTTCCCAGTTCCCACCCATTGCCCGCTCGATGTAACAGAGACAACCGTTGATAACAACAGTCTCCCTATGTTGATGACGAATATGATTTGGGAATTCTAAATTAATACTCCCTCCATCCAAAAGTTTAATCGAAAAGTTTAAGTCATATTTAACTCACTCCTGAATGTAACCAATGAATATTAAGATGGTAGCTTCATTTAAATCTGCTTCATTTAAATCTTAAATAAAATCTTAAATGTATGGAGACTACAAATATACATATCTCATTTGGCAAAATTAGGAAAATAAAATATGGATCAACATTTTTGGATGGAGGGGGTAAATACCATGTACTTAGAATGGAGTCTGCATTATTGCTTTAAAGTTTTAATAATTAGAAAATTCAGAAGTAATGCATACCAAGTTGTCCTAATTCTAGAATCTCAATAATATTTTCTTGATAATTTAATAATTGAAATTTGAAATTAATTAATACTAAATTGCACTTGTTTGGAGTCTCAGTTGCAGTATTTTTATTTAAAAATCCAAAATTTTGAATTTTAATTTAATGAACAATAAATAACTATTGAGTTGTACTACTTCTATACCAAAATATAAGTACCTATGGTGCTTTTCACGAGAACTAAAGAGAGAACTGAAATTAAATGAAGACTATGAATTCAGATTGGTTGGGATGACAAGCTAATTAGAGAAATTAAATAAGAAATGGTCGTGATTTGTTGAAATGAGGGAGTAGGGGAAGAAGTAAGCATATTTTGGGAAAATATTTAAATGCTGAAAGTGACGGGCAATATCAATTAGTTTATTATAATTTAATATTTCAACTTCTGAAATCAATAAATATCAAGTTATCTTCACTGTGGAATCTCAATCCCACTATCTCATGATTTATTAGTTATAAAAATTGATTTGGTATATATCGAGCTAATGTTGGTTGCTTAAAGTATGTCACGTGTGAGGATGCACGACTTGATAGTTAGAACAAACAAACGGATTGCAGAGATAAATATTTCAACACCGGAATATCTTCACTGAAAAACACACCCACATGTAGAAATTGTTTATGAAATGACGCAAATAAAAAACTACAGGATTACGGGCAAAAATACAATAGTATAGAATAACTATATAACAGAAGTATTGCAACTTCATGAGTGTAAAACAAATTGTTCTTGCTGAAGCAGCACTTTTAAATGCTCTGTATAAAATTGAAAAATACACATTTGAACAAGCAGTCCCTCCATTTATGTAAATGCTGCAAAAAGCCTACTGTAATGCGCATGTGAAAGGACCTCGATGTCGCCTAGAACGGGTAGAAGGGGGTGAATAGGCGTTTAAAACTATTAAGTAAATGCGGAAGCTAAACTTTTTGGATATTTCGGATATTCCGAAAATCTCAGTTTTTACGCCAGCTAGTATGGCACACAAAAGGGAATAATGGCATAAGTAGTTAATGGGTTTTCACAAACAGTGAGTAAGAGAGAGATATCATCGGGATTTTTGCATGTTGATGTGTTACCGAAGTTCAAATCCTTGAGGGAGCTCACAATGAGCCGGGTCTTTTCCAACCCTATCCTCGTGAGGTTGCACAAATGCACTCCTCCTTCCACTAATGGTATCTCTTCCCTTTCGGAGGTAAGATCCGACCTTCACAAACTCCCTCGGCACACCACAAACAAATCGGTGTCTCGATGTTGACTCCTAGCCGTCTAGGTGTCCTCAACCACCAAGAGTAACAAATGCCACAAAGATTTCTTGGGGATGAATCGAGTACTCAATAAATCTTCACGAAATCAACACCAAGCACTCAAACAAACTCAAATCAACCACTCTCTCACACACATGAAATCCGAGATTGAAGATCGGTGGAGACAAAGAAGTGAGAAGGCAAGGCTCAAAATGAATCTCAAATCGACAGAAACCAAGGGCAAATGATAAGCAATGGAACCAACAACCTTGACTTAGAGGGGGAGGGGGCTATTTATAGCCACGGCCTTAGATCTACCCGTTAGAGGCAAAGATTCCGTTTTCCGGAAATTCCGAAAAGCATTTTCGGACATATCCGAAAATCAACAGAAGGCAAATTCATTTTACTAGCAGTTTTCGGAAATTCTGAAAAAAATTTCAGAATTATTTTTCGGAGCTGCTACAGTACTTTCGGAATTTCCGAAAAGTGCAGATTTCAGCAAAACTCAGCAGAAAAAAAGAATTTCAGAAATTCCAAAAATATTTCGGAAAAACCGAAAACTTCCAGAAGACATTTTAACTTCACTGCCAGTTTCGGAAATTCCGAAAAAAATTTCAGACAAGTCCGAAAATTTACAGAACCGATTTTGGCTTCACGGCCATTTTCGGAAGTTCCGAAAATCACTTTCGGATAACTCCGAAATTTCCAAAAGCAAAACTCTCCTTTCAGTAATTCCGAAAACTCATTTCAGACAACTCTGAAAAATTCCAGAACATAGGAAATAAGGAGAAACACTTTGAAAAAAAAATGATTTTTGAGCACCAAACTCATCCCTAGACAACAAGGTAAAATCCTCCTTAATAGTACGGCTTTCCTACCAACTCAAGAGGAAATAGAAAAGTTGTACCATTATGAATACCTTCACGCATCTTCTTTCTTTGCTTTTATAGCTGCTAATATGGTTAATCCATAGCAACTTATGACTTCTTATAGCCTCAATCGGTCCATCGGTGTTCAGCTAAGCACCTACTCCTCACCATTGCGTCGGGTCCTTCGGCGCCAAGCCTTCGCTTGCCCTTCTCCCATGCATGGTCCATCGTGTAGCAAGTCTTGCCAACCCTTCACCGCCTCTTGCCATCTTCCGTCACTTGTAGCCTTGGATCACAATGAAACCTCGTTGTATTGTATATTCTTCTTCATCATCTTCGTTGGTTCTTCATCGGACTAATCCCTTGCTTATACATTCAATAAGCTCATTAGTCCCTTAATTGTTTGTCATTAATTAACCAAAACCCACTAGGGGCATAGATGCTCTTTCAGCATGCATGCGCACATCTATGAAATTATTGGATATCATTATAAAACCTTTTATTTTAAAAATAACTAGCTGGGTGACCCATGCAATTGTGCGGCTAGCAATCATATAAAATTATCTATTTTTGACACACATTATTTTAAAATTTGTTAAATAGTCATCTCGTTGTCATCGCCGGCCGTGAGAAAGACGAAGGCTTCCGTCGACGTCAGGCTGTGCTCGACATCAACTCTTTTCCGTTCCATACTCCTCTCTCCATGCCGAGCAAATGTTCTTTTGACTCCATCTTTTTTCGTCCACTGCAGTGACGGGAACACGACCTCGTCTACGGGAGCTCCGGAGCGCGCACAGAGCTTCGCCGCTACGGCATAGTCGTCTTACCGGCCAAACCCGACCACCATTTGCGAGCTACTGCGTCACCATCACCACCATGAAATCCTCTGCGAAAGCCCTCAAGAAATCCAAAGGATCTTGCACCGAAGAGGGAGATCGCCATCGTCTTCTCGAACTCCGGCTGCTGAGCTCCATCTTTGATTCCTCCTTCTCTGGTGAGCTCCAAGTCGATTTCGTGCACACGTAGGTTTCCTAGGACCTCTCTAACATGGGAGACATACATGCATGCAGGGGCGAAGCTACACTTAACCATCAGGGTCAGTAAACCCCGACGATCTTTTGCCAATGTCTAGTACCAATCTTTATTTTACCAGCTATGACCCCAGTGAAGAGCTAAACTAGACCCCGGTGACATTGTTGATTGTTTTGTCAAATAGAAAATGAACTAGCACTTATGATTATACGATGGCCCAATATACATAAATGATTGAGATTTGAGCCCATAAATAAGGCCGGAAGCCACTACTCCACAAATTCCCTTGTTGCATCATCATATTCCTAGTTGTCTCCTGACATCATATTTCATTTTATTTCCAGCATAATGGAAGGCAAAGAATTAGTGGTTTTGATAATCTTTGGTGCATTTGGTGTCTTTTACAGATTAATAATGTACATATAATTTTATAGACAGAAGTTGTAATAGGTAAGATGTAACACTACTACAACAAGAGTTGGTTTTATTTTAATAATTTTGTCACGTATTTTGTAGTCTTATATCATTAGTTACAAGCTACATGACATGTTTCCGATTTAGTGTTGGATTCCAACCAGCATATGACATTTTTTTGCAAAATTTTGATAAATTTCGATCAAATTTTGGTCTAATTTTACTGTTTTAAAAATTAATTCTCGAAAACCATTCAAAATTTCACTCGGAATCTACTTTTGCCCCGCATGGAAACATCAAAATTGCATGGTTTTCAAGGGACATTTAACTTCTTACCACTTTTAAGATATGGCAATTAATTATTTGTCACTCGTTGTCTATGACATGTGGGTCTAGTGGCAAATAATTTAGCACTACTCGTAAGAGTGGCAAATAGTTAATTATTCCGGTTTTCAATCGTTTTTGGTTAAAATCGTAAATCCTGATTAGTACGAGTACCGACCGCAGTGACTATTTATCCTAGCTTCGCCCCTGCATGCATGGTAGTCCTTTTGGTGAGTCAAGCCTACGTCCTTCATCTGAGAAGGACTGCCGTCGCCGAGCCATTTCGCGAGCCACCGTTGGCGCGGCGCAGGTCGCCAGCGCTAGCGTGGAGACGGCAATGGCTGAGCTAATGTATGGTGCCGCCGCCATTCCCTCTTGCTGCTGCCTGATATAGAGAGAGAGAGGAGAGATAGCAAAGGACATGTGGGCCCAAGGGCATTTTTGGCATTTCACGTGATTTCTCTCTCCTCCTCACATAGAAATTATTATTTTAATGGGTGCGGTGTCCACTAACCAATATCCAACTTTGAAGAGTGTCTTCATCCAAAGTTACTTTGCGCGGTATATTACAGCTAAAACTACAAAGTCACGATATTCTGTAGCAAAATTTGCCAACATTTTATTTGAAAGGCAAAATTTGCTACGGGACACATAAAAAAACGTGTAATTGGCTGAGAGACATCGCGAAAACGTGACACGGCTAATGGACACTACAAAAATTGTGTAATTGACCGTAAGACACTAGTCCTATTATTTTATTATTTTCGGGTTAAAAGAGGTGATATATTTTTCTAAATATCCGGATTGCCCTTCTCTTTCCTTGGTTTTCTCCTTCTCTATCTTTTTTTCCCCTTCCCGTTGCCGTTGATTTCGCCGGGAACGCGCGATGTGGCGAGGTCGGCGCGACGTGGGCGGTTGACGGGGGGAGGCGCCGGTGTCGCGCTTTCCTGACACCACCCGCCCACCATAGCTTCTCTTTCCTGCTACCGGCGCGACGAACCAGAGGGCGAGCGCTGGTTGACGGGCAGCAAGACGACGCCACCGCCACCCACGTGGCACCTCGCCTTCTCCCGGGGCAACATGCCCGACCGGTCCTTCAAGGTGCCGTGGAAGCGCGCCCTGGCGGTGGCGAGGCCGCGCAGCACCATGGCCCCTCCGCGCGCCGCCACAGCTCGGGAGCTCCTCCGCGTGTGCTGCGAGGTGCAGTCCCGGTTCCAGGAGGTGGAGCTCCCGCTCCTGGTGGTCCACGGCGGCGACGACACCCTGTGCGACCCCGAATGCGCGGAGGAGCTCCACCGCCGCGCCGGCAGCGAGGACAAAACGCTGCGGGTGTACCCGGGGATGTGGCACCAGCTGGTCGGCGAGCCCGAGGAGAACGTCGACAAGGTGTTCGGCGACGTTCTCGACTGGTTCAAGTCGCACGCCGCCGCCGCCGCTGCCACGCCCGGCGAGGGGCAGCAGTAGTGGGTCCAGGTCGGTCCGCTGGTCACGCGTGCCGCGTGCGTGGGTGTCGGCGTGTGATCCATCATCCATGGCGGGTTCAAGCAAGTACGTGCGTCGTTGCCGAGTGAAACGCGATTTGATTTGATCTGGTATCCGTTGTATATCTCCCAATCTCTTCGAGCGAGTGCCCTTGTCGTGTGCATGCTTTTGGTGTTACTCCCTCCATCTCAAAATGATCATCATATATATTTGTTTACCAAGAACAAGGCTAATTTAAATCACATCAATCAAGACATCATGCACACATTCTCTCATAATACATGTATCGATTAAAATATCATATCAATTACACCGTAGCATGCATATAGTCTCTCATGCTACATTAATTGTGTCCATGCGGTTATATAATAATCAATTTAAGAAATTTTAAATTCCATTATATGATGATTAATTTGGAATGGAGGAAATACCAATGAACTGAATGTGAAAAAAAAAATCTTGTGATGTTCTCGTGTGCCTGTGAGAGTTGGGGGAACGATGGATGGGACGCTGCCTTTCTCCTTGGGAGGAAATTCAAGTGTTTTATGGTTTAGTAATTGAAGTGTTTAATTTTGGTGAAATTTGCCTACAATTCTCGTTAATTTCAGCATTTAGAAAAAGGACCGTGAATAAGATTTTTTTTTTTACTTTTTCTTGCTCATTGGCTTAGAACATGGAAATGCCAAATCACCAATTTAGAACTTTGTGCCAAGTAAAAATAGAAAGGCCCAAGACCGAAGTAGGGTTCACAACGGGGTAGGTCTAGATCAGGTGGGGCAGGGACGGCCCAACCCGCATCCCCGACTTTCACTCCACAGCCCCAGATCTCAAGTTCGGATTTAAATAGGACCCCTTCACCGACCAGGACCCCCATAGGATGGAGAACAAGGGGAAGCGACAATGACCAGCCAGTGATGTGTGATCGAAAATCTTGTCGCACCACCAATGAGCTTGGAAAGGTAGAGGTATGGGTGAAGCTGGGGAAAGCTTATAAAAAATCTTGCCGCGGTACCAGCGAGCTTGGGAAGGCATATGTATGGGTGCAGCTCCTACAAGATTGGTGATAAACATGGAGTTCATTAGGGAGAAGCGGAGGTGGAGAGGGATTGGGTGCGACAAGAAAAAATAAAGGAAGGATCAGGTGTAGCGAGAAAAATGAACTCGTCAAGAAGTAGGTTGTGCATCCACGATGCATGGACGTCTTGCATCCACTAATCCGTACTGCGTGCCACAGTGACTCCCTGTCCTCGCACCTGTGGGACAAAACTAGCTAGTTCCTGTCTTGGTCTTGCCCCAATCCACTCGTGAGGCCAAAATTCCCCGGTCTCATTAGGGACAGCACCCTGGCCACATAGGGGAATTGCCACCCCTAGTCCGCATGGGTTTATGCTATCGAATAGAAATACATGTGAACCACGTATTTACGTCCTTGATAGAAGTTTATACGGTTTATCTGTCGTCCATGTCTCTTTGTCACTGCTCTTTAAGCTTTCCAATGTAGATCTACCTTATTTGCTTGGGATTCGGATTGTCAATTGCCGACTTAAAACTGAGGACAAGAGAAAAGGTGGAAGGACGAATGGGTTTGTTGTCGATTAGAAATAAACGGGGAGCACAAATTTAAATCCTGTTCAAACTGCTGAAGGAGGCTGAATTATCTGACTAGCTAGTTGATTTATTTATGGATTAATTGTATACTATAAAATAAACAAAAATATATTAGAAAAGGTAACCTAAGCAATGTTAATGGATAAAATATTTAGAAAAATTGTAATTTCAAAACAGGCAACGGATAATCGGGTTGATAATCCGCACCATGTAAGCTAAAAAGAATGGGACCCTTATATCATAGCTATACTGAATTAACATTTAGAACTTTCCTCCATCTCTCTGTCTCTAGGTCCTGCCACCTTGGCATGTTCTTTTCTTCGTTTTCCTAACTTCTACTCCTTTGCTTTTTTCACACACGTTTTCCGAAATAATAAACAGTGTGATTTTTTTAAAAAAATATCTACAAGAAAGTCGCTTTAAAAAACATATTAATATATTTTTAATTTTATTTAGTTAATACTTAATTAATTATACGTTAATTCTTCCATTTTATGTACCGAAGGAAAGGGAAGATTCTCAGCCTTTAATATGCTTTCTTTGATTGGATGATTGATCAGAAACTTATTATTCTAGATAAAACAAAAGAGTTTAATTGGAGGGAGAATCTCTTGCCAGCAGCAGCTTAAGGCACCCGTTGAAACATGAAGATCATTCGCGATTCATACAGGATTTGTACTGACTTATCAAATAGCGTTTGCATAATTATATTATGAAATTCATTTGTTGCTGTCACCTTTAATTTTGCTTTCTTTGAAGCCTTCCAATGGAGATAAAAAGAACTTTCAATTATGATTAAAAATTAAACTTATAGATCCTCTCATTGGAGAACTCAAACTTTTAAATATGATTTAGAATTAAAGTAGAAAACCTTCCTGTTGGACAGAAGTCTAGGTAAAAGAATAGTTAGAGCTAGAACCATATCCCTTGCCATGCCAGCAGAGAAGATTTTAAGAATTAAATTTGAAAATATACTGTTGATTAGTTTTTTTCTTAGAAATATTTGGGATGTAAATTTTTTGACAGAAATATACTATCGGTCTTGCAAAACCGTTGCGCGAGAATGACGTGGGTATGATAATATGGGCGTTCTCGCACGAGAAAAACGCGAGACCGCGCGGGTGTCGCGCAACGACATCGCTGAGACCACGCGGTCTCGCTCGTCAACGGTCTCGCACATCACAAGCGCGAGAGCGAACGGCTTGCTTAGAAAGCAGCCGCATTATTAGTGACTAAATTACCATATTAGTGATTAATTAATAATAGTTAGTAATAAATGAGGTTGATTAGCGATTAATTAATCGATAATTAAACCACTTGAACTCAGCCGTTCGGTCTCGCTATTTCCTCATACGATACCGCGCGGTCTCGCGATGTCATTGCACGACAACACGCTACCGCCCATATCATCATGCCCATGTTATTCTCGCGCAACAGTTGTACGAGACCAATAAGTATATTTGTGCCAAAAAAATTACAGCCCAAATATTTATAAGAAAAAACAAATTAACAGTATATTTACAAATTTAATTCAAAATTTTAATTAGAAGTAGAATCCCTTGCCAGCAGCCCAGCAGCAGCTTAAGGCATATCCATTAAACATGAGGATCAGGATATTTCCCGATTCATGAAGGATATGTACCGATCTAAAGAAATGATTCTGCAGAATTACATTTTGATAATGGAATTCATTTGTTCCGTGGATGTCCGCATCATGTGTCGAGAGAGAGAGGGGAAGCGGGCGATACATACAAAGCCCCGATCTAGAGAATCACCTTTTCTTTTCCACCCCGCGCCGGCGGCCGTGGTTTCGAGTGGATTACGCCGCCACCGCGTCGCGCATCGCATCACATCACATCCTCGCAGCAGCCCACGGCATGCGGGCCTGTAGCCCCCGTACCCCGCCCACGGCGTTGGAACGGCGGCGGCGGCGGCGAACCACGAGACGGGGAGAGGACTTGGAGGAGAGCTGGTAAAGTAAAACAAGGGGTGGGAGGGGGCCCGCCATCACCGCGTCTGTCAGTGACTCGGTGTTTCTCTCCCCTGATTATGGAATGATAATGCGACCTCTGGGCCTTTTGCTCTTGGGCACTGGCCCAGTGCCCAAGCCCAGCCCAAACCAAACCTTAGAATCTGATCGATAAGGCCGGCCTTGTGCCCGATGAATTTTAGCAGGCCCAATTTTTAGTTTTATCTTACGATCTGGGCTGGCTGACACTACTGTCCCCCCGGCGTTTGTGGGATTTAAGTGATAAGGGCAAGTTTTACAATGAAGGTGATTGCCACATCTAATTTAAGACATGTCATTTTCTCATTAACTAAAATGCAACATATACAACATATCACATCTAATACACAAACTCCAATATTAGTTTACTTTCACAACATCTTGTACTTTTCTTAGAGATTGTGTGGAGGTTGCCCCTTGCATGAGAGGTGGCTCATTCTCTATCTCCTAAATTCTCTCCTCCACCTCATCACCTAATCCTATGTGGCAAATTTAGGGGCAGTATATAGGGGCTTGTAGTACTTTCCCTGAGGGATAAAGGCCTGGTTTAGTTCCCTAAAATTTTTTCTGCAAAACGTCACATCAAATCTTTATACACATGTATGGAGCATTAAATATAGATTAAAAAAAACTAATTGCACAGTTAGGAGGAAAATCGTGAGACGAATCTTTTGAGCCTAATTAGTCTATGATGAGTCATAAGTGTTACAGTAACCCACATGTGCTAATGACGGATTAATTAGGCTCTATTCGTCTCACAGTTTTGTGACAAGTTATGAAATTAGTTTTTTCATCCATGTCCGAAAGCCCTTTCCAACATACAGTTAAACATCCTATCTCGTACTAAACATGCCCTAAAGTTGTGCAGAAGTAGGCCATCGCCATATGAGCGATTCGATGCTGCCGTCTGTGGCTGGCAGACAATTTCCTGCCTGCAAATAGCAGGGAGCTCATGTAGCTACAGTACTTCTGAAATCTGGTGCAGGTGTGCAGCATCTGGCTTGACTCAGGACAGTAGGAGTGCACCGTTTCCCCTATTCCATTATGGGTGTGATTTATTTAGTTGTAAAGTTTTTAAAGTACGAACACGTATTTAAAGTATTAAATATAGAGTAATAATAAAATAAATTACAGATTTTGCATGTAAACTATGAGACGAATTTATTAAGCCTAATTAATCAATTATTAGCAAATGTTTACTGTAGCATCACATTGTCAAATCATAGCGTAATTAGACTCAAAAGATTCGTCTCGCAATTTACATGCAAACTGTGTAATTGGTTTTTTTCCCACATTTAATGCTACATGCATGTGTCTAAACATTTGATGCGACGTTTTTTGCCAAATTTTTTTAGATCTCAACTTTCAAACGAGAAAAAGAAGATGAAGACACAAGCCATCCAATGCAGAGGATCTTCAGATGGGCCCATTAGATTTTGCATTCAGCCCCTCCTTTTTCTTAACTCCAGTCCATGTATTTTTAACATTTTACATATTTTACAATAAAT